TCTGAGTCCATCCCAGGCCACCAGACCTGACTGCGGGCACGACATTTCATAGAGCAAATGCCGGGATGTCCTTCATGAAGGAGCTTGAGTGCCTTTTGGCGGCACCGTGGTGGCATCACCACTCGGCATCCCCAGAGCAAGCAACCGCCCTGGATACTCAGTTCGGCATTTCGACACTGGTACGGCAGGAGAGCTGGCGACACCTCTGACGACTTCATCCGTACCGGGTGAAGTGCAGACCTTCAAAGAAAACGGCATCTCTTCTGGTCCATTCTCGAACATCGTCCACAGTTACCAGTTCATCAACAGCTTCACGCATCTGGATGACTTCCATGAGCGGAGCTACTGCAGCCTCTGCCACCGTTTCAGAGGTTGGCAGGCGGCTGAGGGCGTCTGCTGCTGCATGCTGTTCTGCATTGCCGGGGACGTGTACTAGCTGGTACTCGTAGACGTCCAGCGTGACCTTCCATCTCACCATATGTGGTAAGATGGCTTCTGGCAGGTTCTTGATTTTCCCGAGGAGCCCCAGGAGCGGCTTGTGGTCGGTTCTGAGCGTGAAGGGTCTTCCATACACGAAGCTGCGGAACCGCTTGACGGCGAAGACCAGAGGCAGACCTTCACAGTCGATCTGACTTTAGTCCGTTTCAGCTTGGTTCAAAGTGCGGGAGGCGAAGGCGATTGGGCGTTCTCCTTCTGGTGTCATCTGACACAACACAGCTCCTAGGCCATAGGAGCTGGCATCTGCTGACACGATGACTGGTGTATTACCGTCGAAGTGTGCGAGACAGGGAGCCTCTGAGAGAAGAACCTTCGTTGCCCTGAAGGCGTCCCGCTGCTCTGCGCCCCATCGCCACTCCACGTCTTTCCTCAGGAGTGCATACAACGGTGCAGCAACCGCACTCAGCTTCGGGCAGAAGCGACTGTAGTCATTCAGCATGCCGAGGTACGTCCTCAGTTGTCAGACGTTTTCAGGACGTGGGGCGTCTCACACAGCTGCTACCTTCTGTTCTGTTGCGTGCAGACCTTGTCGATCTGCACCCCGACGTAGGAGACCCCTGGCAGGTACCACCTGCACTTTCTTGGGTCAATTCTCAGGTTCTCCTAACCTGGTCGTCTCAGTACTTCCTCCAGGTTAGCGAGATGTGCAGCGTCGTTCGGACCTGTGACACAAATGTCATCAAGAAGCATCATGGTATTTGGGATGCCAGCTAGCAGGGTTTCTATGTGGCGCTGGAAAATAGCAGGACAAATGCTAACTCCATACACCAGTCTGGTTGCTTCAAAAAGACCTTTGTGCGTGTTGACCACTGTGCAGACTTGGCTTGACGCTGACAATGGAATCTGCACGTAGGCCTATTCCAGGTCAATTATTGTGGACTTTTGACCTCCAGCAAGTTGGGTGAGAAGTTCCTCCACTTTGGGCAGTGGATATTGCTCCAAGTGACTGGCTCTGTTTACGGTTAGGTTGTACCTACCGCAGTCTTACTTTGCCATCTGGCTTCAATACTGTCACCAGGGATGCAGCCCACTGTGCTGACTTGCAGGGCTTCAGGATTCTGGCTTCGATTTGACGATCTAGCTCCTCTTTCACCAGTGGTTGCAGAGCCCAGGGCACCAATCGCGGTTTACAGAACACTGGTTTGACATTCAAATTTATCTCCAAGTGGACTTCAGTGTTGGCTTTCCCCAACTCGGGCTTTGTCAGATTTGGGAACTTTTTCAGTATCTCTTGTGCTGTTCCCTCCAGTGAGGCCTTCACATGGAAGATTGCATGTCAGTTGAGTTTCACCTTGGAGATCCAATTTATACCCAGTAGGGATTTGCTGGATACACACACTATGATCAGGGCTTTCTTGCACAATCACCTTGACTTCCCCTATCACAGAGATGGGCTCACCAGCATAGGTTTCCAGTCTCTGTCTGGATTCTTCCAGTTTCTTGTTTGGCCACAGCTTGCAGAACAGCTGTTCCCACATCACTGACACTGCTGCATCAGTACTGACTTCCCACTGCACTGGCTTTCCACCCACTTGCACTGTTATCTTGATTGGATGGTTTTCACTTGCTGTTGTCTCCTGCATAGACTTGTTGATCCTCAGGAGGTACTCCTCAGGTGGGCTTTCATGCTGGGCTTGCATATGGTGCAGTTGGTCCATCTGTTTTACTATGGTAAAACCATGCTGACCTTTGTTGCAACATGCTGTTTGAGTGTGACCATGTTACATTTTCCACAATGAAAGCAGTCCTACTTTTTAAAGGAGCACTCCCACTGGTCATGTTTTGGGCTGTAGCATCTTGCACATCTTCTGCCTTTGAAACACTGTGACTAGCCTGGTTGCTTTGGTGCATTTTCTTTTGCATCAGGTTTGAGGTGGGCTCTTGTTTTTGCACTATGTTTTGTGCCTGGACATTTGCCTGTGGCAGAGCAAAGCTGTTTGAATGGCATGCTTCAATGGCACATGCATGGGCTCTGGCTTGCTCCAAGCCTCTTGCAAATGAGTGCAATTCTTTGAGTGTCATTTTCTGTTGCAGGGCCTTTTCCGTCACCCTGGAATCTCTGACTCCCATGATCACCTGCTGGCAGATTTCCCAGGCGGAATCAGTGAAATCACAAGTACTGGCAAGGTGCCCAAGGCCAGCCACAAATGCGTCAGTGGACTCACTTTCCATTTGCATCATTTGGTGGAACACATCACACTCATCATCCATATTTTTCTGTGGAACAAAATAAGACCCAAGCTGCCTGCACATCTTTTTGTGGACATCTGCGGCCTCTCCCGCAGCAGGCGGGGGCTGTGGCAGTGTTTCTTGCCGATCAAACACTGCAGGGCCAGCAAAATCGAGCAAGTAGCCTTTTTCCGGGCAGGATCTTCTACTTCCATCGCCAGACACATGTTTTCTAGCCGACAGAGCGATTTAGGCGACCGGTCGGTGTGCGTCACATCAAACTGCGGCAATGCCCTCTCTTTTCAGACGGGATCCTAAACTTATGGCAGGCAATTCAGCGTGAAAATAAAAAATGCAAATTAACATCCTCACCGCTAATCTTGCTCCATACACGCTCAGTGAAGAGAGATGGGACTGTGTCGGCTGGACATGCCCGCAAGCACAACCCCGCACACGTCGCTTGGGGCGTCGCAATCAACTCGTGAGTTGGTTATATTTCCAAACGGCGCAGCGGAACATGTTGAAACACTGCCGTAACTCACTTCACTACAATATCACAGTGATCGTTTGATGTTTATCAAGCATAGAACCGACTTCTCGCACGAACTTCTGCATTTTTGCACTTCCTTGCCTCCAAGACTGCCATTGCGCGTATGCTTGACACGTACAACCATCTGAAATATTTTTGGAGGGTGTATAAGCCCGGTGCGTAACCGCCCTACGTTTTGGAGGGTGTATACGCACAGCCTTTAAAAAATGCGAAAATTCATTTTTTGAAAAATGACTTTGTTTAGAAAGATCCCATTCAAAAAGTGTTGTAGATAAGGTTCTGATTTTAATTTATGTTGTAGAGATTGAATAGGGCTACATTTTACTAATAAGTTCATGACCCTAGGTAAACCGGGAGTGACCTCAAGCGACCTCGGAAAACCAGAATAAAATTGTCACATCGGCCCTCTGGATCAGAAAAGAATAGTCACAGAAAGGTATAGAAATGTCACATCCAATTTAGTGTTTCATTGCATTATTGTTCTTACCTTGGCCGTGTACATTTTTTGTGTTTCTTGATGTGCAGTACTGTTGTGACCACGCGCCGGTAACGTGGCAATGGTGCTGAGGGGGGGGGGGGGGTCGGGGTTGTTTGGTGTGAGAGGTGGTCGGGAGATTGTCATCGCAATTGTTAGAATTCGAAGGTAGGAGCATGAGTCTACCTGTGTTTTATTATTTACGACACGCTTCGCCTTAAACACGACGAATGATGTACAATGCACTTTTATGACATTAGATACCAATGCATACCTACACTTAGAAACTTTTGCGGGCTGTTTGACTTACGCAAAGTAGCAATTGCCAGCTTTCAGGGCAGATTATTAATATCAAAACACGATGTGCTGTGAAGACTATCACACAGCGTCACGAATATCTTAACGAAACCTGCCAAGGATTGTTGAGGATGTCAATACTGTGCTGTCAACTTTTCCTTGCCTGCAGTGCCGTAGTCCTGACATTGACATCGTGCACTGTGCACAGTAGTTACCACCTTTTTTATTTGTGACTGGAAATGTGGTTGCATGCAAAAATTAATAAGTCTATAACACTGCAATGAGCTGGTTGTCAAAGCACTGTTATTTTTATGGTAAAGATGATAGAGTTGAGCTACCAATCATATTTTTCTTGTTTAGGGTTATACAATTACTAGTTAACTGTGATGTAACCATTGTGATATAGCAGCATTCTTACTGGTCATAGTTCTTTGGCATTGTTAAATTAGTTTTTACTAGCTATTCATAAATTATAAGCTGTTATCTCACAGGCTTGACATAGAGTAGTCAACTGATGTGATGCATTGTGTTAGGGCACTGGTGAACAGTGTCATTGTGGCACTACCTCAGTGCTGTACTGTTGCATGCTGCAATAAACAATGATATGGTTTTTGTATTGCAATCCCTGCTGCTCTCATAAAAATTACATCATGAAAAGATGGGTCAAGCATACAGTCTTGCATTAACTCCGCATCTGACATATGACCGACCCAAAACACATGATACAATATACAAATGACTTTCAGCAAAGCACATAACCAATAAGCAACATCACTTGCTCAGCCTGTTTTCAGAATCCAAAAAACAAAGGTGACAAAGGAGCAAACATGTCTTCTGCTTTCACAGCCATGCAACATGCTGCAGCTGTCAGGCTGCCTCACTCAGAAATACTGTTAACATAAGTAATAATACATGTATAATGAGCAAATATTACATGTAGTGCAATAGCACTGCAAATCAGCCGACCTTGCACAACGCTGGAGACATGAGAAGTGCATTTAGTTATGGTTAGATGGGTGAAATGCTAGGAAGTGATAAAGCTGGAGGTGCGCACAAGGCTCATGATAAAATATTAAGTGCTATCCAAGAAACCAACAGCAAACTGCTCGGCACCTTTCTCATCACCCAGCGTCTAATACAAGTTGCTGTGACTATGACGATGAGCCATAAGCAATGCTTGCCTACATACACAGTTTGTTAAAACAGTCATAAGTGCACCCATAATAATACAACACTATATTTTCAGAATTCTTAAGTGAAAGACAACTTTGCAAAGCTGTGTCATGCAAGGTTATATCAAGCATGAGCTATGCCTACCTGTCCTTACTGACTAGATGAATTGCTTATATAATGACATGCAATGGATTCATTATATGCTGTAATACCCCAACAGGCTCAAAATGCCGGCAGAATCATAATGAAGCGGCAAATTGCTTTGAACACTCCAGCAGCATGGGTGCTAGTGTTTCTTTCAGTTTGGCAACATCACTACCTTGTATTGTTCAAATGTAGACTTAAAGATACAGGCAGGTATCAATATATCACATTTTATTGGGAGTCATTAGATTCAAAGAGTGATGAAACAATGTTCTCTCCAAAGTGCAAACCTCGCACGCACCCTCCCCATCACAGCAAGATCAATCAGTAGTGAGGAGATCGATGCGTATCCAATGCACAGGATTTTTTGTGAAAGGCGAAGAGGTCTTTTAATGCTATGGCGTTACACGCTACAACTACAAATTAGTTGATTGGTTCATCGGTTACATGAATGGGACCTAAGCGAAGAGCAAGCTGCTTGCCAATCTAAGTTCACCTGCCTCATACAATCATAATGACACGAACTCTTGTGTGCAGATTGTCAAAACAAATGGAAGTCCGCTGCCAGGCGCTTATTGATCTGAATATGAAACTTAATCCTTCCTCAAGTTCACGGAGGTACTAAGCGTGGTGATATCATCAGTAATCTTGTCCTCTTCCCCAAAGGCATCCTGCGTTTTGGCAGTGCATGATTTTTTTATTTCTGTCGAAATTTTTCTTATATTATGCGACGAAAATGTCTCACCAGGCGCGTCACTCAACAGCTATACATCGTACATGGATACCAAAAACGCGTTCAATTGTGTCCATGGACTGGTGCACCCTACCACTTTTAGAATGATGTCGTGGAATATGGGGATATTGAGTCAAAGCTGGCCGCTAGATATCATGAAATCAGACAAAACAATTGATCCTAATGACTAGTTAACCATCGTTCTTTGCAACAAAATCACCATCAACATTTTATCTTCAGGACACTGAGCTGAGCTTACCTGCTGTAAATGGTTTGAAGTGAGTACTACGATTATTACGCGAATTCCACATCGCGCCGACTCCTGTGACATCGAATGACTTGAGTACAGCTTAGTCGATTGAGGATTGGTATATTATGTATATTATGTATATCATGATGTTGTGTGATTGGGTATTGGTGATGGTAGTCGAAAGTGGCAAATGGAGTTAGAATTGAGACTTTATGATACATACTGTGAGAAGGTGAAGCATGTAGAAAGGAGCTCTGGAATGCATCTTTTTTTGGTTACAATGCCAATAAAATTACCGATGGATCACTTGGTTGCGCTGTTGTCCGAAACGGACTTGTGAGGTGCGCTGGGGTTTCGAACGGATATAGCCATGCTCAAAATCGTTCCCTCTCATTTCTACAGTTATAACTTTTGTGAGATTTCAAACCCACTCATTTCGGTGTTTGGTGCCCGCAGATGTGTGCAGACTGTTTCGCGCCGCCTTATTTAAAGCCACCAGGAGATTATGTCGTCATAGAAACGTCATACGAATTTTGCCTCTTCGACGCCTGTGTTGAGTTCGAAGCCAAACAAATATGCTTACTGCCTCACGTGTGTCTGAAGTACGCCAGCACGATTGATCGCATGAACGGAGACAAGTTGTTCTTTATGTACCTTAAGGCCCTTAATGCAAGTATCGAACGTTTTTTTGGTGCATAATGCATTTGGCTAGTTCTACTGGCTATGATAGATATGTGGCTGGCAATTGAATAATTAAATCATAGCGTCATGACCAAGCATGCAAATGAAAGTTCAAATTATGCCATCGCGGATAAATGTACAAGACCACCACGTGAAAACGCCCCAACACATGTACTTAGTTCTAGCGTTTGCCGGAATACCAACATTTCTTTCATCGGAGTCTCGTCTATTGCTAGATACACGCACACCAAGATGAATGCTGCCTTTGGGCACATGCGTGTTCGATGGAGCGATGGATCGGTCTTCCATATCACGCCTCGCCATCTGGCCGCGCTGCCACGAGGCCGCTGCTCGAGGTGCTCTGCAGAGAGCGTCCAGGTGGTGGGTGTCTCGCTGCCGCGTGCCTGGGCCTCCGCCAGACGCCTAAGCGGTCGTGTAGCCGCGGCATTCGGGCGCCTCGCCCGACCAGGAGCCGTCCCCCTGGCACGTGGCGCGCATCATGCCGACCAGTACGTGGCCCGGGCTGCACGTGAACTGCACGTGCTCGCCGACACGGTAGCTGAACCTCACGGGGTTGGTGTTGCCGCCACGAGGAGTTCCAGGGAACTCACATATGGGCAAACCTGAAACCAGACATCAGATCCGATCTACCTTAAGCCGCAGGAAAGATACCTGAGTTGTTGCCCTACGTGAACAACTTTTTGGAAACCGCGATGCGGAAAGCTTCGTGTTATGATGCACGCCCTGTCCCATAGATATCCAAAAACTTCGTCACGCCTTTGCGTGGCAAGGAGGTATGGAGCACTGTGACATGTGTTTGTTTCACATGTGCAATCATGTGAAACAAGACTAACCAGATCCATCGCGTAAAAGAATAAGTTCAATGACAGCAGTGCACGAAGCGCCCTGTTGCGCGGCCGGCGGCGGGTGGGACTACGCACAGGCGGGCGTCGGGTGGGACCAGGTGCCACCGGCCGTGCAGAAGCTGGAGGCCTCGCCATCCATCACGTGATTCGGGTTGCAGAAGTACTCGACCGTATCGCCGACGGCCGTGCCGCCCGAGCGGACTGCGTAGCCGCTGCGAGGCGTGCCCGGCTGCGGACAAGTCACGGCTGCCGGAGCCGCAGGTCACAACGTATCACGGGAGGTCATGACTACGCGACAGGTTACGTCACAGGTTACAGGTTACGATGGATCACGAAAGCCACGGCTGACAGTCACCAAAGGTCACGGGGAGTCATGGAAGGTCACGGTTGCCACGCGCGACAGGTCACGAAAGGTGACGGCTACTGGGTGCCACAGGTCATGAATGGACAGAGGAGGTCACGCCAACCGGGTACAGAAGGTCACAACGGGTTATGAAGGGTCACGGCCGCTTTTCTGAGTCACAAGGGTCTCATAAACCAGGTGCCGGTCACTACAGATCACAGGTCACTTTGGTCACTGAGTGCCATGGTTACTATGGCCACTAAGTGTCTTGATGGATCAAGAGTGCCACAATAGGTACGTACGATGCCGTTACCGGTACGGGATTAGCGAACTAGTGATCTTCGGGTACACATTTTGCAAGCGTGAACGGCACAATGCACCGAATGAATGGATAAAGGCAAGGTTGATGAGCGGCCGAGCCCACCATGGAAAAGTGGCAGTTTGTATGACAGCAGCAGCACACGCGTTGTTGACTGGCCGCGCCGTGACAGACGCGCTGTTTGCCGATCACCGTAGCCGACCTGCTATCAACAGCAGGAGCACGGGTGTAATTTCCCGATCGGTTGGAGGAACGGGAGTGGGTTGGCGAGTGCGGGTTGGGGCTACAGTTCCCCCATTTTGAGAAAACAGGTGGCTCAAGCTAGATGAGAAACCCAGTTTTGGGCTATATTAGTAGAATTGTTGACAATTGCTCGATGCTCAGCTGCCACCCACCTGAAGTAAGGACACTATGCTCCTGCAGTTTGGCAGGATATGACCATGGTAGATGCGCGAGTGCTACAAATCATCGTGACAGATAGACCGCCGCTGTGTTGGCTCGGCGGTGAACGCGTCATTGGCGGGCCCAGCCGTTTCCTACGTGCTGTTGTCCGTTACCGTAGCAGATGGGCGGCTGGCCGCTCCAGGTGCCGTCCTGCTGGCACCGGATGACCCGGTGTCCAGCCAACTGGTGACCGGGGGCGCAGCTGAAGGCCGCCCGGCTGCCGTGGGTCAGGTTCACCGAGGTCAGCAGCAGGTGCGGGTCATCCAGCGTGAGCAGCGGACATTCGACCGTCTGGCACTGCGGCAGGCGGCCCGACCAGCGGCCTGTAACACGCATCGATACCCTACAGCCGTTGTTTGGACGATCGAAAACGTACGGTGTATAAGTGAGGGAGTCGTAAGAGGGAAAGTAACTGAATGAGTGGTTTGGAGGCGGCGTGAGGGGGAAATACAATGAAATTAATCATTTCGTGGTTGCAATGGACTGACAGTCATGTAACTGGAAACGAGCAAACACATTTTGGCCTACCCATTCGGCAATTGGCTGATTTCAAAATGGCCACGATCCTGGGGACTAAAGGAAAATGAATCCACACTGCTGCTTACAGTCGTTTGAAATCAATCCACTCATTTTGATGCGCTTTTCGTGTGACTAATTTTCCAACGGCAGCTGCGGCAAGTTGCCGCTGACGCTGACCAACCAACAGCAGCGAAGCCCGACCCTGAACAGTGGAACGTCCAGGTCGAGAGGCGTTCGCTGACCATTGGCGAGACAGGTGACGGCGGCGGGCCCCACCAGCCGGTGACCCGCGGGGCAGGTGAAGGTCACAGTCTGCCCCAGTCGGGAGTCAGTGGTCGACGGCAGCCGCAGCGATTTCACGTCCACCACGGTTGGACACTGCACCCCTGCCGGCACGCCAAAGTCGGGTCAAGGCCACGTTAAAGTCGAAGCGTTGAGGGCACGTTTTGTCCCAAGCGGCATTTTCACAGTTCATGTATAGACCTCGCTGGTTGCCTGCCTAAAAACATGATACGTGCGGTAGAGCCTTCTTTCATCGTCGCAATGACCATTGGGTACATGAAACATCAAAGCATAGGAAAGCTGCAACCAGTTTCTAGCCAGCTTCTCAAAGCGAAAGTACAATCTTACGCCAAGTATTAATGTGTATTTTCGATTTTACAAACTACACATTAAGCCAGTTTCTCGAAGCCGTCACGTGACCTTTGTCGTAGTTTGTACATTTGGCAGTGGCGTAGATTTGTGCGTCCCGTTGCCAAGACAACTACCATCAAACTTGAAATGATTCTAGCAGCGATAAACAGACGTCTTATGTTTTGAGTATGTGTTACTTTCACCCAAACTGCCGTCGATTAAGACAAAATAATATATAAGTTTCCAGTTGCCTGGTTCGACATCAAACCATCCACGTAAGCCTACGATTTTGGGGATATTATCTCCAGCTACAATTATGACGCTTTGGTTGAAATGCAACGTTTATCAGGATATGAAAGCAAAGGGATATGTGCCGGTGGTGCAGTGGCTAACGCATCTGGGTGCGGGGTTTGGTTACCCATGGTGCCCGCGTTTCCGCCAGGATGAGAGGCAGTTGACGCCATCTAACCGAAGCAGCTGAGTGCGCTTTAAATCCCCAATGACGACCATGAACAAAGGAAGAGTACGCTTGGCAGTGTTCAAGGATAGAGAGAGAGAGAGAGAGTGGAGACAGCTCCCCGTCCGCAAGAAATTTGTGTGTGACCATTTTTCGTCGATTCGCATATGGTGGTGCGCACCCCCTTTTCAACAACACCATTTAGTTGCGTCAACCGCTGCGCGTTTTTTTGCCATCGACGCGCTGTGTTTGTAAGTCTCCGTGCTACGTAATAAACAGAGCGACACGTTTTGTAGATGTGTGTGGCCTTGCGGAGATACTTGCCGAAGTAGGGCTGGTTTTGGTGGCAATGTTGTCCATAATTGATAAATTCGGTGAAGGAAGCTTTTTCCATTCATCAGCTCCTTCATTGTTCAAGTTCATCCTAAAATGTTCCATTCAAGGAACATTTTAGGAACATTTTAGGAACATTAACATTTTAGGATTTCATCCTAAAATGTTCATTCCAAATGTTCCATTCATGTTCCATTCAAATGTTCCATTTATTTTGCATAGCGATTGTGGACGAGATCATGTGAATAGTAAGTACATAATGGCTGTGCTTATGAAGCATATCCTGGGCATTGAAGGTGGGACTGTCAGACCTTAGTCTTCAGAGCTTAAGGAAACATGTGAAGTAAACACGAACTATCATTGAGCACTGAAAAAGGGCCATTCATGGATCCAATCATAGGCAGCCTGCTGTACTTGTCATGGGGAATGGGCCTCTATATGGCTGATCATTGAGAGTATGTTTCTATGATATGATTTTACAGGCTAGCTTCTGCTGTATGGCATAGGGATGCACAAGATGCATGCAGCTATGTTATCCAAATGAACTCAATTTTAGAGTGTAATCATTGTGTCATGCTGTGCTATTTTGATAGCATTTATTGCACATCATGTCTCCAATCAGGGTAGGCACTACAGGCGATGCTGCTGCCCATGTCTCGGTGTATGTGTACTTTCCTACCTAACGTTAGAAAAAATCATTGCACACCATTCGTCGTGTTTAAGGCGGCACAAATCATAAATAATCTCAAAACAGGTAGAATCATGCTCCTGCCTTCGAATTTCAATAACTTCGATGGCGGGCTCCCGAGCGCCGCGCGCACCGCACCGCCTGGACTCCCCAGCGCCGTTTATGCGTTGCCGTTGCGTAAATACAATATTTCTGCTTACCAAGACCTGTACAAAATGTACGGGACCAAGGTAAACCATTCGTCGTGTTTAAGGCGGAACATATCGTAAATAATTGCAAAACAGATAGAATCATGCTCCTATCCTCGAATTTTAATAAATACGATAGCGAGTTCCCGAGCGCCGCACGCACTGCACCGCACCGCCTCGACTCCCAAGCGCCGTTTCTGCGTTGTTGCGAAAGCACAATATTTCTGCTTATCAAGAACCATAAAACATGTACGGGACCAAGGTAACAATAATAAAGCAACCAAAATCGTTTCTTATCGAGTTTAGGTACATTTATGAAACACACAGGTCAGAATAGTCCAGAACATATCCTAAACTAGCCTAACCTAACCAAACCTAACCTAACCTAACCTAACCTAACATAACCTAACCTAACCTAGCCTAGCCTAGCCTAACCTAAACTAAACTAACCTAACCTAACCTAACCTAACCTAAGCCTAACCTAGCCTAACCTAACCTCCAACCTCTCTTACATGGTCTTTTTAGGTCACTTCCGGTTGACCTAGGTCATGAACCCAATTAGTAAAATGTAGCCCCGGTCATTCTCTACCATGTACCCTAGACTCAGACCCCTAACTCAAAAAATTTTTCGGGGGGACCTGTTCGCGCAAAGGCATTTTTCGAAAAATCGTTTTTTAAGTTTTTTCAACTTTCCATATATGCTAGAGTTTTGATTTTTGACACGTTTAAGACGTCCTAGGTTAGGCCTTATGTCAATTCGTAACCTTCGTAACTTAGGTAGAAAAAAAGTTTTTTTTAAATGCCGAAATCGGCAAGCCTATACGACCCCATTTCCCCGTTGACCGCATATGAGCTGATGTTTTGAACACCTTCCGAGACGTTAGGTTATGTTAGTGTATAGAAAATACTACTCAACAGATTTACTTGATTCAAAAAAAGAACGATGTCCCACGTCAAGACGCATCTTTCCTTTTTGAAATTTGAAATCGGTCATCATTTGGCCGAGATAAACTCAAAAAACCAAAACACATGTAACGCTATGGGAAAAAGTTTTTCCAAATTTCTCAACTTTTTATACATCTGATGCGAAAACATTCAACAGCAAAAAGATAGCTCTTGTGCTCAGCAACACGTTGCAAAAAACAAATCGAATATCGGTTGGTAACTTTGGCAAATATTTGGATTTTCATGGTTCCCGAATAAACTAATGTGACAATTTTATCCTCGTTTAAGGGGGTCTTCTACAGCTAATAAAACCTACTAAATCGTAACAGAAAAACCTCCCTCTTGGTGCACGCACTAGGGGGACCAACAGCTTTCATTTCCCACCCAAAAAAAAATTTTGAAAAATTTTGACATTTTTTGAAAAAAGTTAGTTGTAGTTCAAAAATTTTCCATTACCAGGTATAGGACATATGACGTCAAAAACTTTCAAATTTAATTCTGCGTCGATTGCAATCAAAATCAAAATTTTATCTCATTTGGTTAGAGAGATATACGTGTTGCAATTTGATATAGACCAAAATTGGCCGATTTTCAAAATTATTGGATTTTGTTGTAACGCATGTCATTTTACGCGGAATGTTATGGCGCATCTGGTGATGTATCTTTTAACATGATAAAATAAAAAGTTTTTGAGTTATTTTGAAAAAACTTGAAAAATTGCCAAAAATTTGAAATTTTTTTAGAATGTGCGGGAACTTTTAAAACATTGTTTCTAGTGCATCGTAACACGCTGAGTTTGAATCTGCAATCAGATTTGATATAACTTGATAACTTTTATTTAAAAATAATAAAAACCTAAAAAAAACATATCGACAATTTTTTTTGGATTTCATGAATTTCAAAAATTTGACCAATGCACTAGATGCAACTTGTGATTCTAAATCAGAATGGTCTCTTGACTATTTTTCGTCCGACGCTTAGTTTTCTGAGAAAACACGTTTAAACTATTCGTAAAATGCAGCAAAAATATAGGCAAGATTCCTTATCTGTTTTGACAACTTTATTTAGTGTTCAGGAAGCTAATACTTTGACAGAGGCTAGAATCAGTCATTCCCTTTCTAGCGCCGTTTTCAGAACATCTTTTGGTTACGTGATCATGGAGATACAGCTCATTAAGTAAAGACCGTTTTACCCCATTCATCCCCAGTGTTAAACTCCCTATTCAGTCTGATTCTGAATTGTTTGACATGTTACCCTAAATAGCGATGAAAAAACTTTGCGAACATAAAAGTTTGCGAGCGTCAAAGATGCGCTAATTCATTGTCTACAAGATGATGTTTTCGGTATTAAGATATCTTGATTTTCAAAGACACCATCAACGATTATATGGAGGTAGTTTTTTATAGGGGTAGTTTTCCCCATAGCGTTACGCGTTGGACGACGACGGCGCAAAACAGGTGGTGTTTGACATGCTCTAACTTCAAAACCAACAAAGCCATAGAAAAATCTTTGGTACCGTGTAATAGCCCGTTTCTTGCTCTATCAGATCAGAAGAAATCAAAACAATAAAATGAAATTTTTTTCAAAAATTATATAAAAATTTTTGGGTCAATATTTGACATATGTATACAAAAATTAAAAGCAATTCAGCCATGTTTCTCTGCACACAATAGAAGTGAAATTGTCATGATGTAGACAGATTTTGCTTAGATAAAATTTACGTCCAATGATATAGACTTAAACTCAAAAAATATATTTTTGACATATTTTGGACCAAATCTGGAAAATTTTTTGGGAACATAAAAGATGCGCTAGTTCATTGTCTACAAGATGCCGTTCACAGCATTAAGATATCTTGGTTTTCAAAGACAGCATCAACGATTGTGTCTAGGTAGTTTTCCCCATAGCGTTACGCGTGGCACTTAGAAAAAATCCGGTGAAAACAGGTGGTTTTTCCTGGTGCATGTCAAGAGTTTGACATGCTCTAACTTCAAAACCGATCAAGCCATGGACTAATCCTTGGTACCATGTAATAGCCTGTTCCTTACTCTATGAGGTGAGAAGAAATCAAAACAAAAAAATAAAAATTTTAAGAAAAAATTTTTAGAAATTTTTCGGTCAAATTTTGACATATGTATACAAAAATTAAAAACAATTCAGGCATGTTTTTCTGCACACAATAGAACTGAAATTATCATGATGTAGACAGAGTTTGCTCAGATATAACCTACCTCCAATGATATAGACTTAAACTCAAAAAACACATTTTTGACATATTTTGCACCAAATCTGGAAAATTTTTTGAGAACATAAAAGATGCGCTAGTTTATTGTCTACAAGATACCGTTCTCAGCGTTAAGATATCTTGGTTTTCAAAGACAGCATCAATGATTGTAACTAGGTAGTTTTCCCCATAGCGTTACGCGTGGCACTTAGAAAAAATCCGGTGAAAACAGGCGGTTTTTGGTGGTGCATGTCAAGAGTTTGAAGCGCTCTAACTTAAAAACCAAGCAAGCCATAGACTAATTCTTAGTACCATGTAATAGCCCGTTCATTTCTCTATCATGGCAAAAGAAATTAAAATATTTCAGTGAAAAAATAAAAAAATATATATACAAATTTTTGGAACAATTTTTCGCATATGTACGTCAAAATTCAAAAACATTCAGGTATGTTTTACTGCACACAATTGAACTCCAATTAATATGCTGTAGACTGGTTTTGCTCAGATAAAACTCAACCTCGATGATATAGACTTAAACTCAAAAAATATATTTTTGACATATTTTGCACCAAATCTGGGAAAATTTTTGAGAACATAAAAGATGCGCTAGTTCTTTGTCAACAACATACCGTTCTCAGCGTTAAGATATCTTAGTTTTCGAAGACAGCATCAACGATTGTAACGAGGTAGTTTTCCCCATAGCGTTACGCGTGGCACTTAGAAAAATTCCGGTCAAGATGACGGTAATAAATAGATGTGTTTGATGGCGTCTGGAACAACCATCGTCAAACCTACATCAACCAACTTTCTATGGTGTGCTTACAGAACCCATATAAAGCGTTTATGAAAATTTCAAAAAATTTTTTCGAAACATGACATCACCACAGAAGTTTGAAATTTACACTTTACTACGTGATTTAACATGGGAAAAATTTACCAAATTTTATATGTCATATTTTGGTAAAATTTTTCTTCTCAGTAGATAGCCAGCGTCACAAGCTTTCTGCCAATACCATATTCATGCACATGACTAGCATGATAAGGTGTCCAGTAAAGATAAAAGACATGAAACCCTATACATATGAATATATAACCACTTTTGGAAGCGTACAATATTTAAAGAGAGACAAAAAAAGCCAATAGACAGAAGCAAGAATATCACATCCAATGTGGAAACGTAGTCTGGGCATGATACAAACAAGTTTGATGTAGGGCCGTTCAAAAAAAAAAAAAAATTTAGACAATGAAAAAGTTTTTTGCTTATAAAAAGAAAACTAAATATAATTTTGGAACAAATCCAAAACCAAAAGAAGCCCTGCGCAACGATGTATAAGCAAGCAAAAAAAATCCTAGGTTACGGCCTTATTTCCGGATCGGGACCAAATTGTACAATTTGTGCTTTTTTTCAAAACCATGTATATCGTTAAATTTTTGGGTTACATCAAAATTTTTTGCACCGTTCGATTTGTCTTTACAATGCGCATCTTTTACTAATACACTTGCATCACAAATTCCCTACCGAAAATTTTTTGTACCCCATTCGGTACAATTTGTGCAAACGAGGATATAATTGTCGCATTAGTTTATTGGAACTTGGATAGGAATCGGGCGTTGAAGTTTCTTGAACACGAAAATCGGCCAACTTTGCCATCTAATAACTTCTACAATTTTTGGATTTTCGAAAAAAATAAAAAGACAAAAAAGATAGAGCCGTTAATTCTCATCAAAACGCACTCCTCCGATTTTCGATAGCCCCCCTAGTAAGGTCACAGCAGCCAATACCGCAAAGGCAAATCGGGATAAAAATGTCACATTCGTTTATTTTCGAGGATACAAATGTCACATTAGTTTCTGAAAGGGATACAATCGTCACATTAGTTTATCTAAGCTAACCTACCCTAACCTAACTAACCTATCCTAACCTAACCTAACCTAACCTAACCTAACCTAACCTAACCTAACCTAACCTAACCTAACCTAACCTAACCTAACCTAACCTCCCCACCCTATATCCCCTTCAACCCAGCATCCCATTGGCGTCCATGTTCCATGCCATATATAGGTGCCATATAGTGAGCTTTTATTTAGCTGTCATGTTCTCATTTTGCTTTACATTCCCCACCCAATCCCCCTGCAACCCATGGTCCCGTTGGCGTCGAGGATCAAATTTCATGGATTCTTGTTACCTTGGCCCGGTACATTTTTATGGTTCTTGATGCTGCTTGATGCACAGTAATGTTGTGACCCGCGCAGTAACGGCGCCGGTGTCGCGGGTGCTGTGCGTGTGCGGCGCTCGGGAGTTTGCCATCGTAATTATAAAAAATTGAAGGTAAGATTATGGATCTACCTGTTTTGTGATCATTTACGATATGTCCTGCCTTAAACACGACGAATGGTTTACTTTGGTCCCGTGCATTTTGTAGAGTTCTCGGTAAGCAGAAATATTGTATTTACGCAACGGCAACGCAGAAACGGCGCTAGGGAGCCCAGGCGGTGCGGTGCGCGCGGCGCTCGGGGGCCCGCCATCGAAGTTATTGAAATTCGAAGGTAGGAGCATGATTCTACCTGTTTTGAGATTATTTACGATATGTCCTGCCTTAAACACGGCGAATGGTGTACAATGATTTTTTCTAACGTTAGGTAGGAAAGTGCACCCTGACCCATGTCTCACTTTGAAAGTGTCTGGAATACAACTTGCATGGACATGGAATGTATGGTATGCATAACAAGTATTGTGGCAGCCACACAAATTTCTCTCAAATGTGATGTATTTTGATGTTCTTGTAAAGGAAGTTCCTTGACCATGCAGTTTTGCTTTATCTTTTGGTCTTGGCATGCCCTACCTAGGGCTTCTTGTCTCAAAGACTGGAACACTCACTATGACTTGCTCACATTCAAGCTTCATGCTCTGTTATGCCTTTAGCAGCTGTTAGCTGTTAGCAACAGTCCTTAGGTCAGTGTTATGATCTGTGACACAGATGCCTCCATTGATTGCATTGCCAAATTCATCAAGGACCTATCAAAATTAAGCTCTGTCATACATTTGTTCTTGGCCTTGAGAAACTGATGCAAGGCTGTTTGTGTATATTTGTGTCGTAGATTGTACATTTTCTGTGTATTTTTTCAGTGTTGTCGGTTGTAGTTGTAAGTTGTACATTTTTGCTTTGAGAAACTGTATTTTACGATCGTATGCCAAAAATATACGATTTACGCCAAAAATCTACAAATTTCTGTTTTGAGAAACTGGCTACTGCAGCCAGTAAACGCCAAAGTTGGGTCAAGGCCACGTTAAAGTCGAAACGTTGAGGACACGTTTTTTCCCAAGTGGCATTTTCACAGTTCATGTATAGACCTCGCTGGTTGCCTGCTTAAAAACATGATACGTGCTGTACAGCCTTCGTTCATCGTCGCAAGGACCATTGGGTACATGAAATAAAGCATAGGAAATCTACAACAAGCTGGGTCGTCAGAAAACATCCGCAGAGGCTAATACAAGTGAATGTTTGTCACGTGGGCCCATACATTTTGTGTAATACCACATCTTTAAAAGCATGCATCGTTGTACGTGTCCTGCCAGAGGCTGCACCCAGGGGGGTGTCATCCGTATCGGTTAACACTATCAAAAAGTGGCAACATCGAGCTTGCGTGAGAATACAGGTAGTTTGGCAGCAAAGCCTGCATGACGTCAAGTATACCATATTTGATGACGTCAGTGGTACGGAAGCCTCTCAATTAGCCAGCTGACTGCTACACAACCCACTAGTTTGAATGGTGAGTATGTTTTGGGGGCGTGCGGCTGGCGCTTCCCAGTTGGACTCTGAATGAGTGGTCCACGGTTTTTTCATGCAAACGCAATTCTGGAAGGGAGATTGAATCTCGGAATAGTTTGACCTCATCAGAATTTTATATTCTTCCGTGGGGTGTACATAACTAGGGGTTAAACGTCATGCGGCGTTTGCAGCGCATCGCGTGTCGCAGTTGCTTGGCTCTTTATATCAGTGGGTTGTGGCCAGTTGCCATGACTACGCCTCGTACGAGAGATCTCCTGAGCAGTTTGTCTTGAACAATTGGTAGCATTTAAAATGTTCGGTCTGTGAACATTTTATTATGCATATGTGTACAAACCCTGATGTAAAGAAACACTTGACAGTAGCATCATAAAGCCAATATCATAGGGTTTTACTGTACTTACCTTACTGCACTCACATCACTGTGATAAGAGCGAGAGCTATTGCAAATCAATATTGCAAATGGTCATATAATCATACCTATAGGCAAAGTAAATTATGCAAGCTGAGCTGTTCAACTCTGCCACCAGACACAAACGGCACAGACAAGTCTACGGCTATCTAACGACAAGCCTGGTCATGGAATGCAATACGCCACAAACGCCGCATGACATATAAACCCATGTTATGGCATCATACGTGCAAAAATCGTACATGCTGATGAGGCTTAACTGTTCCAGGACTCACTGCTCATTCCAGAAATGTGTGCGAATAGCGAAATGACGGATAATTTCTTCTCAGTCCAACGGGGAACCGCCAGCCGCACGCTACCAAGACATGCCCACTGTTCAAACTAATGGGTTGTGTAACAGTCAGCTGGCTAATTGGGAGGCTTCCGTGCCACTGACGTCATCAAATATGGTATACTTGACGTCATGCAGGCTTCACTTCCAAACTACCTCTTTTCTCAAGCAAGCTCTATGTTGCCACTTTTTCGGACCGGACGGTTCTACCTCGTTAGATAGCCTTAGCTGCACCTGAGCGCCACTGCCGCACCAATGCGGCGCAGAAGACCAGAGCCGCTGGTTACCTCTGACCACCATGTGGATGACGTTCTCGGCGCCGTCCGGTGCTCGGCAGGTCAGGTTGCCCGAGTCCGTGGTGCGAGTGTAGTACACGGACAGGCGATACTTCCAGTTGCGCTCCTCCTGCGCAATAGCCCAGCCTAGAGACGGCATGGGGATCGGGTTATGTGTCTAGCGTGGTTGCTTAGCTCAGATTGTCTGACAGGTCGATGTAGATGATCAGCGTATCTCTGTCGCATTTTTGACATGGATACCAGTATCTATTTTTCGTGATTCCAGATTTAATTTAGGTCTCGTACGGGATACGCAGGCTGAGGACATGCCCATAACGAAGGCTGCATAACGGTTACGGCTCTAAACGTTCAGCACTTTGGCAACGTTCGTTGGTTGCCGCGAAATGGTTATGATGTTCATACGGTTTTCTTTCGTAGGCTGTTCCGGCTATCAACGCTATTTGAAGTCGGGAACGCAACTCGAGGAACATTAACGTATCGTGCTATGAGAAGTTCGAGCAACCGAGACCAGAAACCAACGCTTTGCAAGAGCACAACATGTGATGTCTAGCGGGCGTAAGACTGTGGTCATCACACATGGCTTCACTGCTGCACATATTCGGCGGGCAATAACGACGGGCGGTGGCGGACCAGCGTCTGGACATCAGAGCTTTCACCTGTGGGGTAGCGACGAGTGGTAGCGGACCACTCCCAGACGGGCGTGCCGCGGGTTCGCAGCAACAGACAGTCAAGGTGCACAATCGAGCCCGGGTACACGAGCAGGTGGCCGTCCGCCGTCGGCTGCACAGACCCCGTCGGCACGTGGTGCACGATCGTCGGCGGAGCACCCTCTGAACGGAGGCACACATTGTGATGACTGCGTGACTTTTACATCATAATTACATCATAACATAATAAAACCGACTGTCAATGTGGGAAACTATCCATTCGTTAGACGTTGGCACCACAGCTTGCCGTACTGGACTGGTGCATAAAAGAAGATCGAGTGTGGCCATGGTTACCCCCTTAAGACGATGAAAAAGCATCAAATTTTGGAATCCTTGGCTTGTTTTTCACTTCCTGATTGCTGCAGGAAGTGTTCCCCCTTCCTGCCCCGATTCTATGTGGGCTCTCCCCTGCTATGCCGTGTGGGTGAGAGCGAGGTGAGCGCAGTGAGCAGCCGTACGTGAGAAGTTGGTGAGCACGCTGGTGGGCTGGCAGGCGGGCAGCCGCGGCGGCCTCCAGACGCCATCATCGCAGAGAAAGGATGATGCACCAAGGCGCTTGTACATGCCGATCTCCTGACAGCGCGCCGTTACCCTCGTGCCGTGGTGGAACGCGCCTGATGACTGAAACACGACGCGGAACACAGAGATCAAGGGGCACGGCGGCTCAGACGCCGGACCGAGTCAGGACGGACGCCGGAGACGGGAGGTGCCGGCTGCAGCAGAACCGGTGCTGAGGCAGGCAGGCAAACAAGAGATCGGAGTAGAGCAGGCCGAGTGATTAAACGGAAGACTGCGATAAAGTCAGGAAACTGAAAAATGACAAGTGGAACTTGAGACACGCAGTTAGGGCAGATGAAGTTGCATGTCGACGAGGCATGTTACCGAAGACTGCAACAAGAAGCTCAAACGACGAATAAAAGTGGTGTAATCCCAGGTCTAAAACAAAGGATCTGGTTCGAAGAAGCTTCGGGAGACCGGGGGTGGGAGAAGACTCATGACTGAGGTAGTACGTCTTGGTAAAACAGGAGAACGCGGTGAAACAGCCGGAGAATCCATCCAGGGTGCAACAGGAGACCAGGTTGAACAATTCAGACGAATTGAGCAGGAGGACGACACGAAGATGGCATCGGACAAGTGTGTGCTTTAGAGCCGAGCTATATGTTAATTATATGTTATACCTAACGCCAAGTGATGTGTAGTGGACGAGAACCAATCACTGCTTTCAAGCAAGACTTAGCGCTGTAACATTGCTTTAAAGTGTGCGCTAGGCAACTTGAATCAGTAGCCCAGATAGTAAAATAATCGTCTCCATCTGAAATGCAAGAGACCAGCTATCCCACAATTCTCGACAGCATGCTCCAGCCATACCGTGAGCGGTCGGTAGTCGATGGAGAGCGCCAGCTGTTGCGGGATGTCCTCGATGGTACAGCTCTGCAGCATCGGATGGAAGGTCTCATCTGGAGACGAGTGACGTAATATCACAGCGAGACACGACCCCTTCAGACGACATCCAGCATGCACGTGAGCACATGAGGTGATGGTCGCGCATGTGTGGGTGGAGCAAGGCTAATATTAACGCTTGCCATATTTGCTGGCGTGAATATACATACGCAACGCGTGCATGCACACGCTCATTCCGATATGTTAACCTACATGAATGTTCGTGCCTGAGCCCCGAGCACCGCGCATGCGCCTATCGCCTATTCCATTTTCAGCAGCAGCCACATATGCCGACTTTTCGCTGGCGTCCCGTGATGGCAGATTTGTGCGTGCCTGTCAGCGTCGGCTCGGAGCGGCACGGCGCCCGCCCGCGGCGCCCATTATGTGCCAACGTCGGCCTTTATGCCGGGACAGGGCGGCCGCCCGCCCGGCCCCCGACTGCGCCGTTGGTGGGCGGATTTATTTTTCATTTAAGTCGACCGGACGGGCCAAGATGAGAGTGATTCCACTCATACGGCGAGATGAGACCGAGATCAGTCAGCGCCGACGGGAATGGAGCGTCGCTTCGCAGCCAGCCCGGTCGGCGGGTGTTGTGGCGGCGGCGGCCGCCGTGTGACGTCCGACGCACTGCCGGCCGGACGGACTGAGTGATCGGTGTGTCTCGCGCGTAAGAGGGGTTTTTGTAGGCAAGACCCTTCTGGCCAAAAGTTGCGTCGATCAGAAGCGTCTTGGTCTAGTTGGAACGAAAACCAGTTATATTAGGTGTGTATGCGGTGATATGCATCTTAGGTCTTACTATTGTGTGTTTCTGAGACCCACTGTGCGTATGAGAGCGGTTTAATCGTTTATGCAAGGTTATAGCTATGCTGGCATCCAACATGACCATCAACCAGACCCAAGGGCTATGCACGGTACATTGATGCATGATGATGCATTGGATGCGTTTTGATATTACCAATGACTCAAAGCAATTTTTCACCCGGAAAAGAATGCCCAAGCGTGCCTGTGCCAACGAAAGTACTCGCGCTTGCATGCATACATACCTTAGTTTATATACACTCAGAGAACTATGCAACTACAGCAATGCAAGGTATTTACAAAACTCCCATTCAAGCTGCGTGAAGCCCCCTCCTTTGCTGGCTTTCCAAATGGGTGTGAATTCTCGCATCTACGCCTAAAGCGTATCGAAATAAATACAACTTTTAAAAATATCTAGCACTTGCATATTCGCTCCAGCATGGATCATGATACGTAATATCAACATCAAAGGCACCAAAATAGCATCTTGCATGTGGTAGGACGTCGCTCACCATGATCGCTTTTACAAAACGGCCCCGTCCACGATCCATCAGTGCACTTGATCTTACACTCTTTGCGTTCTCCACTTATTGTGTCCACCTCAGCCATAAACTGCACCTCCTGCGGACATCAACCAGCCATCAACCATCCACTAGCAGCACGTCGTGCACATTTCCGGATGTTGTTTTGGGCAGATCGATGTGATGTCGGATGGTGACCGGACCCACTGATCAAAGTTTAACCGTCGTCTTTGCCTCTATCTTTATCCCGATATATGCACTGATAATTTCTTTGGTTGCCTGGATTTAGGCATCCATCAGTTAAAGGTTTATGCATCGGTGAAGCATTCCATTTGGTCCTGAACTCAATGCATTGCGTTGGTAAAGTCTTGCAAATTTTGGCATTGGTGGGGCCCCGTGTCGAATGTCATGAGCTTGTGCCTGTCAGAGCTCACAATGGCGGCAAGTCAGTTTGAAAGTTAAGCAAGGTTTAAGCGCCTTATGCTTAGTCCTTAACAGCGACTTACCTTGACATTCTTGTAGTTGACCTCAGACGAGAAAGATGTGTAGTTCAACAGGAGCCGAGGGGCAGGACAACTGACTGGAAATATTGCATGCATATATGAGTTGGAGCTCACTGATAAGGGTGATGCTGTAAGAGCGGTATGATATGCCACTCAAAATGCAAACGTCAATTGGTCACAATAGTGGAAATGAACATGATAAAATATAAAACTGGTTGGGAATAAGCACTGCTAGATGTCCTATCAAAACGGCTATTACAAAACATAAAAATTGGTTACCATGGAAGCATCACATTTTATGCGATGAATAAAGACGATGATTTGACTTCCCGGCGCACCATTATATAACTTAATTCAGTGCAACTAGAGAAAAAGTCAGTCTGTCACGACAATCCCATCGCCCGTCCCGATAATTCAGATGGTTAGAGCATCTGCCTTCCAAACCACCTATCCGTGGCGAGCCGGATTCGAGTCGCTATAGGCGCTTGCTATTTGGCCTTGACAGCCATAGCCTGTAGCAGGTGGCAGCGTCCGTGGGAAAGGTCAGGTGGCGTCAGAGGGCAGGACGGACCGTGCCGAGCATTGCTCCGCGTTTAACCTTCGTCACCGAATTTTGCCGTGGTCCTGACATAGCACGCTCGGATGACAGATGTCAGGGCTCAAGCAGGCAGTGCTTAGCATGATTCCTGATCCCAAGCATCCACTCATTCAAAAGGTTCCCTTTAAATCATGAAATAGGCAATGGACAATAAACTGGAAGAACCCGTAGTGGATGCATTTCCCCACCAGCGCTCACATCCTATATGCACATTTGGCGTGCATTTATATTTCTTTGCTCGTCATTACACGTCAACCGGCCTCTCGTGCCGCGAAATGCGTTAACAAGTAACATCGTGCTCCGAGCCGCATCCAGTCCGTATGAGGTTCGGAGAAAGCATACGTCAAGCCAATGAGCGGCACAAAAAGAAGAAAAACGAGGCAGCCGCCGACCCCATTTAGCCCGGCACTGCGCAGCGGTCGCAATGTCCTTCGTTATCAGGGTAGGACAGCAACAAACGACAAAGCCGAACCCACGCGAGCGTCTGGTCGGGGAAGCACCTGCCGCCGCTTCCAGTGTACTTTAACTCCTCGGGTCGGCGCCCGTCACCACTATCGCCGCTGCCGGTGTACTCGGACCCTTCGGGTCGGGCTCACACCAGCGCGGACCGGCGCCGGAGCGCCGCATAGGTCCTAACCCGGGCAACGAGACTCACACCTGGCGGAATCCCTCCCAGATCAGCCCGAGTTTCACGAGAGTCTACCAGTTTTGGAGACAGATCCTGGTCCGATTTGCTGCTCCAGCATTATACTCCGGTGACCAGTCCAACGTGTTTGTTTTTTAAGCTGACCTGTGTGCCATTGGGGCTTCACAACGCACCCAGTTTCTGAGGCTACATGGCGTCGCCTGCCTCCTCACCCTAGCAGGAAGAGCGGGTGCCGCGGGAACCTGACCTGTAGTGCCATCGGTCGCCCCTAGGTCACCAACCTGCATTTGTATCACAAACATAAATCCTGGGGCTGTCGATGGATTTATGATTGGAAACAATAGGTTCATGCACTACAGAGGTATAAAGGTGATTTACAAAAGAAAAGACCTAAACAACTCAGCGAGTCAAATGTCAGAAGCCAATAAGTGGTCGACGGCTTCTTCTGAGTTACGTGTTGTATTGCTGCCTTAATTTTGTGTTTCTGCGAGATGATAGTGATGTGTCGCATTTTTAATGAGGAATCCACATCACTATTGCTATCAGTAGGCAGCAGATCCATGAAAATCACATCACGCATGCTAATATCGTGTGGAGCTGGTTGGTTATGATTAGTTCTTGCGATGAAATATGTAACTTCCTCTACGTGGAGTGACATGGAACTTGAAAGGCGCTTATTTATATAATTACCCCATCTCGCGTTTCTCCAATTTGCCAGAAAGTAAGGAACTGCATAGTCGCCTTGGTCCTCCTTTAAGTAAACGTGCCATGGTTCCAGGAGATCCGTACAGTTTTAGAGATCTTCGACTGTCCTGTTTTTGCCCCCTCCGCTCAATAAAGACGTTCCCGTAGACAGTCAGTAAACATGGCCTGACCTGTGATGTCAGCGGTTACCCCAATATCTGCCGATCACTGACCTTCGCATCAGACATTTCACCCGCCGATGTATGGTTGCATCACACTCCAATGCATCCGGGTCCCTCTCTCAACAAGACGTCTCTTGCTCAGGCTTGACGCTGCGCTTTACTTTGTCCAGCTTTACCCACTGCGTGATGGATTCGTGTCCATTGTAGCCACTTTTCTTCGGGTTTTGCCCTATGCTATTGTATCATTTGAGACGAAGCCTCAGTACATGCGCCATCTCTCGCCATCCTCCAGCTTCACCGCTCTCGCAACTTTCCGCAGTGTGGGGTTAGCACATCTCATTGCCAACCACCCCGCGATGTGCGGGGCAAGAAGCCCGCACGTGATCTACAGCTTCTGTTCAGGTCATCTCGCAGTATCACTTACTTTTGATCTGCCACGTCGGGTCAAACGAGGTCAACACTACGTCTTTGGGCACTCCACATAGTTTTCCAGGTGTACGCAGACTAAAAATGATGCTCCCACGTACTTCCAGGCATAATGTGAGGTCAGCTGAGGCCGTTTTATGGCATTCCACGACATTGACCTTGGCGAACCTTACATGTAGGATGTACATGTCCGAAACTCTGCATGTAGGTGTGGGTAAAAAGTATGTTTGCAACATTAAGCGCTGTTTTTATCTCTCGATCTAATGTAAACTTAACCCTAATTAGCCTTTGCAACACCACTAACGCATCTGCCATGAGATTCATAACGTGATGGATCGAAGGCAACGTCCGAATAATCTTAAACGCGCTGTGACATTGACTATGAAATATCTTAGACAAATTCATGACGGTTATTAATGACGTCCAAAGGCAACGTCCTCCCCTCACAACCGCTGGGCAGGAAGAGATGCGGCGCAAAGCGTCGGCACTGCGTCGTGGACTGTCAATCTTCAATGCTTTTGCTGTCCAGATCTTTGAACATTTGCAGAACTTCAATGGCTTGGTCAACCGTGTATTTAATACGCACTGATGGTTTTAATCTCAGCTGGTCTTCCTTTCTCAGAATGTGCAGAACGGGGCCTTTGCAGATGCCTTCAAAACTCGGAGTGGGTTGCACTGACGCTGGCTTTGCGCTGTCTAATTGACTGCTTGAAACTTCAAACGGACACTTGAACTGAAAGCGACACATGACAATTTACCTATATACCGTCATAACATTTGCATTTTTGAGACAAACTATGCTGTCCCAAAAGCGATACCTTCAAATGTGGTATAGGTCATAACAAGATATGCAGTAATGTTTAATAACAGTCCAAATAGCCGACCCCGTTATGTGGGGAAGTCAATATTTGCAAGTCATTCGTCGATAGAGTGTCATAATTTATTGGATTCACTCGCTA